TTATTTGATGTTGATAATCTATTACTGAAGGAGGATTTAGGGAAAAAGTAAAATGCGGGCGCATAAACGCGTACATACCAGGGAAGAAAACTCTTTATATTTTAGTAGCCGTCCGTATAATGGATAAAATATAAGCCAATAAACAGGGGCATAATAACGCGCTTTTTATAAAGTAATTTATATCTGGTGTGTTCATGCAACCCGTAAAATGTTGGGCATTTACACATACACACAGAGAGATTCAGGGTAGTAACTTCAAATATTTTCGTGACATTTACCCAAACACAAATTAAATATTTCCACATGTGGTGGAAGCAACTGCGTCTGTATATCTTCATTTAGTGGAGAGGGAAGCGTCGTTGCCGTTATTCAGCCAGTAAATGGCCGAGAAATCAGAGTACCAGCCAGGGTTTTAATTTTTAACTTGAATGTGCTCCTGACATTTACTGCCACCCGCTTCGTTCAGTTTTTACGGTCGAATGAAACAAATGTGTTATGTGGGACAGCTTAATGCAATCACTGAAATATAGCACTGTTTTCAATTATCGTCAAGCCGAAGCAGTGCTAATTACACAGAATTAATTGATGTCTTTCTTTAAACATGAAACAAATTTTATACGTCCAAATCCGGTTAGCCAATTATCACTACTACCCTTTTAGTCGAAAAGTGAGACCAGACTTACAACCCTAGAGGGTTGTAGAGCGACATTTGTGAACCATCAGATGTTCCAGATTAGCACGAGGAAAGAATCAAAACACAATACTCTAAACCAATTGTGTGTAATCATGGCTAGATCGTCAAAATTTTCTAGTATTGTAAAAAACATCGTTGCAGGAATGTATAGTGAAGTGTATAAATGGCCTTTCGGATTGTCTGTTTCTGGGTTATCCAGCGGCGTTTTTGCACAGTGCCCACGAAATGATTTACATTTTCTATCGGTATGAAAAGTGGCACATAAATTGCACAGATGTCCCGTCAAATGGCCTGTATATCTTGTGCCCCTCGCCCCTGGCCAAGTGTCGGTTATACGAAACCGTTCATCATAAACGAGTCAAGCGCCCTCCGCTGACGGACATCGTTAAGGGAGGGTTGTGTGCTGATAAAAGCAGTCATAAATCTACGGCGCATTAAAGTGCTTTATGTATATCTGCACACGATTTCTATGCTTGAAACCGATCAGATCGTAGCAAGCGATTCAGTGAGCACGTCACATCCGATGGCCGAGTTCATATGTTAACATTCAGTTGTTCCGGCAGGTAGAGGGCATTATTGAATTTGTTCCAGGTCGACGGGTTTAATAAGCCCACAGCTTTACCAATCGAAATACGTCATACATGCCTATTTCGTGTTTGTGTTTCTTTGACCACCGACATTACACCACCATGACTCGACACAAAGCCTTTGACAAAAGAGGTTGAATTACGCGCTGCCCTGTAGAAATTAATTATCGGTCCAGGATAAGTCACCCGCTGATCCCAGTTCACGCTCCCATTGGACTACATGTAATGAGTTCCGGAATAAACACTCGAACAAGATTTCAGCCGGTGGCTGCTGTACTCTACACATCCTGGAGAGCTAATGATAGGGTTGCACAAAAAATTGGACCCCACAAAAACTCTTTGCTTAAAATACATGTAATTGGTCAGCTAGCACTAGTGCAAACCATAGAATGTGCAAACTGAAAGCAGATGACTGTCCGATTGACTGATTATGATTGATATTGTCAATAACCTGAAACGATTGGTGGTCAGCCAACGTCAACTTGATGTTTCAATTAAATTTTTTGACATACATTGAACAATCTCCCAAGCCAGCGTAATTAAGATATGTAGTAAGCACTATTTTCCTTGCGAATTAAAACATATTTGTAATGTTACATAGTCAAAGCCTAATGAACTGTCATCTCTGATTGATGACGTTATCATATTTAAGTAAAAAGTTTAGTTATTTACTAAAAACGAACTACATTCCCGCAGATTTATTAGACAATGTAATGCGAAGCGGAAACCATTATCCGTCATTAAACACTAAACACATATATCGTTACTGGGATTATAATAATAAATTACTAACTTCACACGCAACAAGCGAAACAAATTATTTATTCGTTCTTATTCGAAATACTTTTAAATTAAAGCTTCACGAAGTATATCCTAATTATTGCACAAATAATTTACTCGCAAAGTTTTATCTCTATAGTTTACTCAATGACTTACCTACTCCATAAAGTGTTAATTCTGGTGAATCTTTGTTAAAGGCCATATTAGTTAAAACTCGTTTAACGCTCTCCTGCTAATTACTGTTTTAAACGGCGTAAGATGGTTGTCGATTAACGAGCCGATAATGAAAGGAAGAATTCAAGTAGATAGCCTAACAAGTTGTCGATATGGCGATAGGTGCACTGAATGGTAATGACATAAGAAGCACATACGTATACAAACACACATCGGAAGCCTGGCGAGCCCACGCCTCGCCGCTACAGATAACCCATTGTGTACAAGACAACCAATTAGAATGCCATACATATGGGAAACCTCCTGATTATTAGATAACACTGACGCGTCGTGAGACGCATAACACACAAACATGTTAATAGGTCCGGCCTCCCCTTATTCTCGCTTTTCTCAAACGCACAATATAATTCCATTTGAACTGTCAACGTAGGTATGACCCCTCCATCGGGATGATTTATGACCGACGATGGCGATTATTGGTCGCTTCTAATTTATATTAACTGTGCTTGGTAGGTGATGGAATTAAATGGTGAAAATTTGTGAAAAATTTAATAATATATACCCTATGTAATTTTTTGTCTTTGGTAGACTTTAAAATGGAAACATCCGCAAGCTTTTTGTTTGTTTTCCAATTTAAATCACTCAAAGCGTTGTAATGTTGTCGACTTTCGTAAGAAGACGAGCATAGAGAGGTGTAAATTTGTAAGTGATTAAAAAAAAAAAAATTGTTTTGTCTGTAAAATTGAAAGGGGTCGTGTATAGCGTCGTAAGCAGACGTCGACGTTATCGATGAATAATGCAGGAAGCGCTATGTTGGGTGTCGATTTGCAGGCAGGCCATCGTTTGGAAGTGCTTCGCCGGGAGGGCGAATTCGTTTCGTGGAGGCCATAAATCGCCTCGGCCAACATAAACTCCAATATTGGCAGCGTTGGACGATGTTTCAGGCGAAACACCCCAAAGTGCAGAGGTGGTTTTCCACATTTGTTCGGCCATTAATCGGACGACGCACGAGATCGGTGATTTATCTCAGCTGTCACGACCGGAAGCAACCCCGTGCTCTACAAGCGATCCCCACTAATCTCCCACCACGTCTTCGCGACTTCCCGCCATACATCACTCTTATCGGGCGCTAATCCTCCGGGACCACGTAATGTATTCTTGCACAACGCTGCACTGCTAAATAATTAAATCAATTTTAACTCAAGACTTTACACAAACGGCAACACGACAAACACGAAACAGACTCGAATTAGCCGCGCTTGTTGTTGGTTCTGCTAAATTAAGTAACAATGGTACGACGGTTTTCAAACAACTCTATTTAACTGTTAACAAGAAGGCACATCGCAAAATTAGTCCTTCATTTCTCAACCAAACACCTGGTGATTACTACTGCAGTGTTGAAATAGAAGAAAAACCTCAAACCATATAAAATCTCTTGGAGGCAATTTGAATGTGAAGCACTGTTTATGTTGTGTTACGAGGACCTTGTTTATGGTGTTGAATATTGATGTAATATTTCGGTCGTCGGAAAGCTCTATTAGCCGGGTTATTACAGATGACGGCGTTACTGGTTAAGGAGCCGCAAAGCTCGCACAGCTTAGTCCATCGTGATTGGTCGGTATGGCCGTTGATGGCCGCGATCGCCGGTATGTTTTATGACTCGTGCATGTACAGAATACAGCCGGAATGTCCTAGTGTTTATGGCATTTACGACGGTCATAAACTGTTAGCGTCCGCTCGCATGTAGCGGCCAGGTTTTAATCAGTAATCAGTATGTATCTTTGTTTTATGGTCTGAATTTATACGGAGATAAAGTAGTGACTACCATAGAAAGTAGCGTTTGTCCGCTAATCCCACTGCTCCTATCGTGTGTGATGGACAGCTCTCGTAAACAACTCCACTTTGACTTTTATAATAGAAAGCTTAATGGTGTCGAATAATCGTAAATTTTATAATAGTCATAATAACTCCAACGATAAACATATTTTTAATTTTACTACATCATATCAACGAAGAGATGAGTGAAAATAATATTATGCTAATTCCGCTTCGGAAAAGTGTTTAATATGGATATCGCTGTTAAAACCCATTTATGTGACAGATCAAATTAAAAAAAAACACCACTTTCCTGACAAGTACAAGAAGGAAAATTAATTCAAATTTGTTTTCATCCTTACTGGATTATGAAACTTTACGATCTAGTAGAGACACTCAAGGTGACACTTTTATTTAGTTTATTAAGAAATCGAATCTACCCACTCAACCACCCAATAAGATTTTCATAATAAATCTATACCTATCAACGAAACAACCTGATGACATTTAAAAAAGACAATGTTATCCATTACAAGTCACAATTACCTTCAAGGCGCGGCGGCAATGAATTGGTATAACAAGTAACGGTGGTCGACTTGTAACAAGTAGCCCAGTCGGTGCTGTTGTCTAGATATAATTACATCGGGCGGCTCGCCTTTATTCTTTGATTGATGGATTGCCATGTCACAAAGCGACCTTTGTTCTAGAGTGGATGCGCGCCATGAATTAACGCTGGCTGGTAATCAGGGAATATGTATCCGAACCGCGTCCAGGTCATGTCCAACAGAAACGGTGTCGCTCAAAAACCTGCCTCGTGTCATCGCCTATTTAGGAAATAATTACCTCTTTGATTGAAGCTGAACCAACCATGCATGCCAGAAGCGCAACAAGGATGGTGTAATGCCAAATACATATTTCAAAAAAGCTTCATACATGAATAATTCCAAAAAAGTCAATCAAGATCGAGAAGGCAAAAACCGTCATATAAATCATGATACAAACAGACTGAACGGCGGATGCTCATCAGCACACAGACAGCAGTTGACACAAGTAACAGTTTTTGCACTCCAGGCATTATATAGGGTGATTTTAAAGTATGTGCAAATATGATAGTAGAGCTCAAAAAAAAATCAAAATCACTCAAATTGCCTTATCCGAATGTTTATACCTAGTTTTTGAGGAACAGAGGGTTTTGTTCGTCAAATAAATTTCAATTTATGCCGCAGCCTTTTTTAACTTCACCAACTCAAATTGTAAAGAAATATGAGGTTAGCTATTCAAATTCTATTACATTCTTTTAAAAAAATGAGTTAAAACTAGTTAACAGGCACAGAAAAAAGTGTTTTCATATAAAAAAAATCAAGTGTCAAGTGTATTACTTTTCAATGGCTGCGACTGTACATACGTTAAAATCACTCAGTATGTATATGTCGTGCCAAAGCCATCGCCATTGCTGTCACTTTTCGCGATGTTTTTTCTGTATGAAAGTAGGATTCAGTTGTAATACAGATTCTTCTTTTACACAGAATTCAAATGTTTCTGACTTATTTCACCTAAAAAAACTCAGTTCCGACGTTGCAGGCTGACACAGGTATTACACCAAAAATTATGACATAGAAAACTCAGGAAAGTTTACTTATCACAAATTAGAAATGTGTAGATGAAGAGGATGCAACTGCATTCTCGTATTAGCTGTATGTATGTACAATCAGCGTAGAAAAGATTGTCCTCCTAATAAACCGCGCGGACCCTTAGAGGCTGAACCCATAAGCTACAACAATAAATCCATTGTAAACGTCATTTCTTATTCAACAGTATATTTAGTTTGAAGTGAAACTCAGTTACCAATTTTACTTTCAGTTGAGTAAAGAACAAATTATTTAAAAAACATTCAAAGCTTTATACTGCAACTTAAAATTAAAATAAAAAAAAATTTGAATTCATGTTTAATTAGTTATTTATTTACTAAGATAACAAATAAATGCCGTTTTAAATGGCATAATTAAATAAACAATATTATTATTAGAAATACTTAATAAAAACTATCTATTACTAGGAATGAAAAGACCAAATCTAACCTGGGACTATTTAATATACTTAACTTTTTAAAATATTGTTACTTACATTTTTTTTGATAAAGTTGTAAATAACAAAGTAAATAATTTCATTATTAATTTTTATTCAATTCAAAAAGGTAGACGTGCTGACTTTTTGAACTCGTAGCAACCTTTACAAAAAAAGAATATTTAAATTGAAATATTGAGATTTTACAACCAAGATATTGCAATGACAAAGCAATTGTAACAATTTGTTTTTGCTAATAATGTTCAGTTTAGTTATTTTATTAAAACTTCTAATTTAATCATAAATTTTTATTTTTCTGTATTAAAAAAAATCATAGCCATTGGAAAACTGTCTACCCTATAAATAA